AGGTCTACAACAACCGGCTTCACTCCAAATAAAGCGCAGATTGGGTCTGGCTTAAGTGTTTGGGTATGTAGTTTTTAAGTAGCTTTGAAGTGGTTTAGAATCAGTAGCATGAGGAAATTCAGGATAACAGAAATAATTGATTTTACAGAGTTCAAAATAATTTATTTTGCAAAGTTGTAAAAAAAAAAAAAAGACCTAAATCAAACAATCCCCGGCACATGAACTGCTCCACAGGAAGGCAGCACAGGACAATAAAAACCAAAATAAACGGCATATACTGAGGGGCTGTTGTGATTGTAAATAATAAACAATAACTGAACATTGATATGTGCAATCAATAATGACTCAATTACACACACATGTACCTATCTATTTGTTTATATTTCTATACTGTTTATACTATATTTATTTTCAGAACATATTTTTTATTTTTTATTTATGTATTTTTTCAATAGTTAAACTGATTGTTTGCTTCCCTTGCTTTGCACTGAATGGATTAGCATATAATTTTGTTGTGCTATTAGCATTATGGCACTAAAGATTCTGATTCTGATACTTTTTCTCTCATTGATTTAGAAATAGACCTTAAGACCGCGACTGCTGTGGAAAATATTGAAGATTATGAAGGGCCTCAAGAGAAAAATGGGCCAGCAGTGGAGGACGGGGCTGTGCAGGAGCTAAAGAAAGGGGGCAAGGACCTCCAAGTCATCCACCGGCAAGTCAACCAAGGCTCAGAGGACTGGATGCAGGTATTCAAATATTTATCTATTTTGAGTGTACAAAAATACACTGTAAATATGTTTGCCAACCCTTATGGTCTTTTAGGATGGAGCCTTGGATATTTAATTTGTTTTTAAGACTGGAAAAACATGAAAAAAATAATGTTGTGATATCATGAAAACAGAGGCTCTCCCTCTTATTGAAAACCCCAATAGATATGTCTGTATTTCCTGAGATTATATCAATAATATGTTTACACAGTGTTACCAGTTACAAAATGTAATTTTATCTGCAACTTAAGAATACAATGATGATT